TATGTCAAATGCTTTTTCTGCCTTATAATGTGACAGTCCTCCACCAGCTTGCTTAAGGGTGGTATCTGCTACTTGAACATCATTTAGAGAACATGGTGAGTTAACCAAATATTTTACCATGTATGTATAAATCTCAATAAAACAAAGAAATTTTAGAATTCAAATCTATAAACTTTAAAGTATTGACTTTGTAACATGATTAATTTAAAAGTAAATTAAAATATATGAGTTTGTGCCTGGCATGGTGGCTCACATCTGTATTCCCAGCATTTGGGAGGCTGAGGTGGGCAGATCACGAGTTTGTCGAAACCAGCCTCAACAACATGGAAAACCCTGTCTTTACCAAAAAAAAAAAAAAAAAAAAAAAAAAATTGGCCAGGTATAGTCCCAGGTACTTGGGAGGCTGAGGTGGGAGGATTGCTTGAGCCTGGGAGGCAGAGGTTTCAGTGAGCCAAGAATGTGTCACTGTACTCCAGCCTGAATAGTGCCAGACCCTGTCTTAAAAAGAAAATATATATGTATATTAGTTTGATAAACTCCAATATAACTTCTTTACATAAAATTTACTAAGTTTATAAATATAAATATTTAAATATGTTATTGAAATCCAATTTTGCTGGAAAGCCTAAACACAATGTGGAAGCTATTGACTTGTCTATTATCAATCTTACATACTATTATAAAACAAATGCTATGCCATTATAGCTTCTTTCAACTATCCAAAAGCTTGTGGGTCAGGTGTGAAACCTACAAGATGAAGCAAATGAGGCTTTATCTAGGGGTGACAGTTTTGTGGAAAGACATGAGTATCAGGGAAGGCTACATAATGCAAAAACAAAATTCTGTATGGACTTGAACCCAAGGCATTTTGCTTACCAGACAAGTAAGCTGAATGACAAAGCAACAATTCCCTGTCATGAAAGTTAATTTATTTGATATTATAGTTAGACATTTAAAAATACACCAGAAGAATTTTAGAGTTTGAAAATGACAAGTTGCATTTTGTTTTGAGCAGGAAACATATCAAGACAAACTTACTTCATACAAGACATTATTGTAATCCCAGTGACTCAGGAGGCCCAAGCAGGAGGACCACTTCAGGCCAGGAATTTGAGATTAGCCTAGACAACATAGCGAGACCTTGTCTGTAAGAAAATAAATTAGTCATTGTAGTAGCACACACCTATAGTTCTAGTTACCTGTAAGGCTGAGGTAGGAAGACAACTTGAGCCTAGGAGTTTGAGGCTGCAGTGAACCATGATCACGCCACTGCACTCCAGCCTAGGTGACAGATCAAGACCCCATTTCTGGGAGGGTGGGAAAACCAGACATTGACAAGGCCTGAGCAGAGGAGGCTGCCAACTGTAGAAATTGCAAGTTACAAAGAAATTCTCTGTTTAATACCTTGACATCTATAAAAAGTTGCTCTAAAGAAAAAGAACCAGCTCTGGCCAAGCACGGTAGCTCACACTTGTAATTCCAGCACTTTGGGACACCAGGGCAGGTGGATCACTTGAGGTCAGGAGTTTGTGACCAAGCCTGGCCAACATGGTGAAACCCTGTCTCTACTACAAATACAAAAATTAGTGGGGTGTGGTGGTGCTCGCCTATAGTCCCAGCTCTCAGGAGGCTGAGGCAGAATTGCTTGAATCAGGGAGATGGAGGTTGCAGTGAGTCGAGATTGCGCCACTGCCCTCCAGCCTAGGTGACAGAGCAACACAGAAGAGAAGAGAGAGAAGAGAAAAGAGAAGAGAAGAGAAGAGAAAAGAGAACCAGTTATTTCCACTGTTTTCAGAACAAATCAACAGACTGAAGTTTACTTGTGTTGACAGTGTGTGAGGTTACAATGTGATACTTACTATTCTTGAGGAGATGGAAATGTTCAGAAAAGAAGCCACACAAAGTACATGGCAGAAGAGCAAAAATGCAAAACAGGCTTAAAGAACCCTGAGAGTTTAGAAAAAAGCAATAGATCAAAGGGATCAAGAATCGGCATTAGAAGATGAAACTTAAGACAGAATAGGGAGTAGGTTCCAGGCATGGAAACAGGACATTCTCTGAGAGGAAAAGAGAAGAACTTGTTTAGTTGGGCATGAAACACACATTCTAGGTAGAAATAATTTCTTTTTTTCTTGAGACGGCATCTAGCTCAGTCACCTAGGTTGTAGTTCAGTGGCACAATCTTGGTTTACTGCAAACTCTGCCTCCCAGATTCAAGCGATTCTCCTGCCTCAGCCTCCGAGTAGCTGGGATTACAGGTGCCTGCCACCACGTCTAGCTAATTTTTGTGTTTTTAGTAGAGACGGGGTTTCACTGTGTTGGCCAGGCTGGTCTTGAACTCCTGACCTCGTGATCCGCCTGCCTCAGCCTCCCAAAGTGCTGGAATTACAGGCATGAGCCACCATGCCCGGCCCGGTAGAAATAATTTTTCAAAACTTAGCTGGAAAAATGTATATAGCGACAAGTAATGGTTTAAAACTCAGACTAAAAGGATAGAAGCTCTTTTGAAAGACTTTTTGAGAAGTTGCTTTCTCAAACTAAGCTTTGAAGTGTATTTCTTATCTGTCAGGAAGGTTGGAAGATGGAGAGCTTAGAAGTGGAGAAACCAGAAACTTTTCAAATAAGGGCCCCAGATGCTAGGCCATGTTCCTTCAGCCTCTGAAGTCAGCAGTGAATACATGTGACACAGCATGTATTCGTGCTATGTGCCACGAATCTATGAAGGAATGAATGAAAAGAAAGCAAATGTGCGGGAATAATCTATAAGAGTTGGCAAGTCATTGGAGGTGGATGTATGAAAAGAAAGCAAATGTGCGGGAATAATCTATAAGAGTTGGCAAGTCATTGGAGGTGGAGATGTATGTCTAATGGGTGGGAATGCACAAATCTGTAAATATGTGTCAAGTGAACCGTTGGGTACATGCGGAAAAGGAATGTGGAGGGAACATGAGCGGATACGAGAAGGAGCACATTTCAGAATCAAAATTATTCTGCTTTCTAGTACTGGCTTTGCCACTTTTATCAGTCTTGTGACTTAAGGATGTTTTCTACTCTAAGTCTCAGCTTCATCTCTAAAATGAGGATAATGATACATGTTTGTGAAAAAAATTAAGTTGGATAAAAACAATGTAAATGACTTTTTTTTTTTTTTTTTTTGAGACAGTCTTGCTCTGTTACCCAGGCTGGAGTGCAGTGGCACCATCTCGGCTCACTGCAAACTCCACCTCCTGGGTTCACGCCATTCTCCTGCCTTGGCCTCCCAATTAGCTGGGACTACAGGCTCCCGCCACCACACCAGGCTAATTTTTTGTATTTTTAGTAGAGATGGGGTTTCACCGTGTTAGCCAGAATGGTCTAGATCCCCTGACCTCGTGATTCGCCCACCTCAGCCTCCCAAAGTGGTGGGATTACAGGCATGAGTCACCGCACCTGGCCATGACTCACATTTTATTGTCCCTTAATACATAGCCCTGAATAGACGGTGGCGATTTTTTATGATAAGGTCCTTTTGGTGGCATTTTCGAGAGGAGTATCTCAGGCCATGTGGTTGCAAGTGCAGATTTAAAATAAGGAGAAATCTAGGCTGGAGACAAGTTTGCGAGCATTCAGCCATTCAGCTATACTACGTCACCTACTCTGTACTAGGGCCAGAGAGGAAACAATGGCTGGTGAAAGAGCAACTGATATTTCTGAAGGCAGGAAGACATAAATAATTAGAACAAAAGAGACGGTGAACAAGGAATAGTGTTGACAGCGCAGCCCTCAAGTCTTGGGTCCTTCTAAGTGCAGGATGAAAAAGGAAGCCTTCATGACACATAAATTCTTACGAGACAGTGTTTCTCTTGTGGGAGAAATGGAAACTCAGAAATCAGTGCTCTCAAAGGGAAATTAGGTATGATTTCTTGGGAGCCACAACCCAACCAGGCTACGAGGCTTTCCAAATAATACAGTCCTGAGTTTGAGCCTCAGAGAAGGCATGTATATTTTCAAGTCATGCACTGTATCAACTGCTTTTTTTGGTAGATAAAAGAAAATACTGTATATGCTAATAATCATTAACAAAAAAACATTCAGGTAAAAAGAAGAAATCTGAGTTTTAACAAAACTGAAAAATACTCAGAAGAGGACTATATGGAATGACAATTTGTTTTTCATCTTCTGGATCATCCCCTGAGGAAAGCAAAGAAAGTTCCCTCAGGATATTCCAGTTGGCAACAGCAGAGCAGAGGAATATTACTTTATTCATTTATTCAGAGAAGTACTTTGCTGGGCACTGTTCTAGAAGATGGGAAATACAAGTGATCAAAATATAACCTACTCCACAACTCTCAAATCCAGCTCCAAAAAACTTTTAGTGTGGAGGATGGCACAGTAAAGATAATAAGCCAATAAATAAGTAAAACATAGCATTTCAGATCTGTGTATTATGATTAAAAAAAAAAAAAAAAAGGCCTAAATTGGAACAGGAAACACAGATGGGGTGCTGAATTACAAGACGGCAGTTAAAGAAGGCCTCACTGACAAGATAAGTTCCCAGTGTTAGGACCCCAATATCCTTCCTTACAAAGGGTGGGGATCCCACCCTAGAAAAGGTATAGCAGTTCAGCAGCCCCACAGCAGCTGTGGCAGGGCTGTTTCTGGATACCTTCATGGAGAAATGCACAAACTGCCCTTCATTTCAAAGATGAGCATCAGTGTCGTCTTCAGAGAAGATGCAGCCATTGTGGGGTTAGGGTTTCTCTCCTCAGGTCACTAGTGTAGGTGCACCTGCTGAGAAGTTTCAGCCACTCCACCTGCAATAAGACAGATAGTTAATGAGAAAAGCAAGAGACAGAACCTGTGAAGAACATATGACCATCAATCATTTGAATGAAAGGGGGCAAATTTGAATGAAAGGGGACACATTTGTTTATTTGTGTTTTTATAGGTATTCCAGACAGGTACACAGGAAACGAAAAGTGGTTCACTGTAGTATATCAAAGATAAAACACAGCCAAGCCTTAGTTTAAATGACAAAAACAGATTTTATTTAGTAACCACTGACAGTGGGAAACCATCTGGGTTTCATAACTGGCACATATCAAAATCAGGCTCCACAAAGCCTGGGAGACGAGGGTCCTATCTTCAGACGTTGACTGAAACAAATGGTAAATTCCTTTGGCGGCATCAATTGAGTTTTCTCCGGCAGGCACTTGAGGAGATCGGGCCTATTAGAAACTACGTTCGGGTTTGTTCAGGTCTTTATAGGCCAAGGTGGCCACCTAGTCCAGAAGAGGGCTCAGAAGAATCCACCTAGAGTTTGGTCAAAAAGAGAATCGTTGCCAAGTAGATGAGGGAACTGGGCGGCTGGGGACTGTTGGGGATGGGATGGTTTATAGTATTTTTTGCATATTCAATTATTAAACCGTAGCAATGAAATACCTAATCGAAATCATAAAACGAAACAAAGTTTTAGCTACATTGTCCTATCCATTATCGCCACAAGATGGCGATAGCGCTTCTCAATTCGCCTGCGGGACAGAGGAGGTGCGGCCCGGAGAACTCCTCTCTGTGCCAACGGCAGCGTTTCGTTAGTTCAGTCGCCTGAACTTTTCTGCATGTAGATTCCTCTCAGGGTAGCCCTTTGTTGACCAAAAAAGAAATACGTTCACTGATGTGGCCAGCTTTTTTTTTTTTTTTTTTTTTTTAACTTTTTTTTTGGAGGGGAAAGGGAGTGGTCATGGACATCCCGAAGTAGACACAAATACAGAGAATCCTGCACTTCCCAAGGCTCGTCGCAGAGGCTTCAACAGTTACCAACATCTTGCCCATTTTGTTTCATTATCCGCACCCACACTGACAGATGAGGGAGTCTAAAAAATATCCGAAACATGAAATCCCATATATGTGATTTTAATTATGAATATTTTCACAAATATCCTAACAGATACGGATATAAAGAAAATACACTAAGATTTTACACCTAAAAAAATTTAAAAAATGATGTGTAACATAATCCAATACCTAGCCCTTAAAGAAAGAAAATCCTGAATGTTCCTCTTGAATGTATTAAAATCCGTAAATTTACCCAGGTCTCCAAGCAGCCTGACTGCTCTTTGAAAAAGGAATTGAGACCATAATCTGGGTGGGAATTCTCACTGATTATGGATTGTCATTGCTTTTAAAACATTCTTTGAAAAGTGTTGTGGAAAAAATGGTTTTCTTTCTTTCTTTTTTTTTGAGATCTGTCGCCCAGGCTGGAGTGCAGTGGCACGATCTCGGCTCATTGCAATCTCCGCCTCCCGGGTTCAAGCGATTCTCCTGCCTCAGCCTCCCAAGTAGCTGGGACTACAGGCACGCACCACCACGCCTGGCTTATTTTTGTATTTTTAGTAAAGACCGGGTTTCACCATGTTGGCCAGGCTGATCTCCTTCCTGACCTTACGTGATCCGCCCGCCTCAGCCTCCCAAAGTGCTGGGATTACAGGCGTGAGCCACCGCGCCCGGCCAAAGGTGTACTTTTTATGAGAGTATTTTAAAAAATACTCAAATTATCTGTCACGGTTCCTTGCCTATGCCCCTAAAAAGAGAGGGGAGGGGTGGGGGAAGCGGGGGGTGGAAACAGAAATAAAAAGAAAACTGACAAACAGAGGAGGAGTCCAAAAGTCCAACTTCCATTAAGTCAAGACTTCTCACAGTTCTTTAAGCCAGCAAATGAATGTAATTTAAACTGCTTCAAACTTCATATAAAAATAAATTTTTATATGGTAAATTTTTATTTTTTTTATATTTTTATTTTTTATATATTTTTATATATTTTATATTTATTTTAAATATAAATTTTTATATTTTATTTTTGGTAAATCAATAAACAAAGAGGCATCTCCATGACTACTGGTGGGAGTATGTACTCCTCCTTTTCTAAAACAAAAAAACCAGCAGAGAGCCCTGAGTTGGAAACATGAAAAGCGTAACTTTTTTGAGTTGGCTATTATTAAGTGTAATATGAGACGGACCACTCCATTCCTTCATCTCTTTTCTTTAACCAATGCATTTTGGCTACTGAAGAAATTATGCCTTTTCTTAGTCACTATTCAGCACATCTACAACATCCAAAATTGAATAGTACTCCAAGAGGGTGCTAAATGACTACATGCCACTTTAACTGAGTCTTCCAAAAACTGAGACTTCTGCTTATAAGGAATGTGGTACACATTAGGACTGCTGAGTCCCATAGTCATCCATTCATTACCTTACCCTTTCTGTATAATGGGTCCAAAAAATGTTGAGATATGAGGTATAAAGTGTTCAGTAAGTTCATAGGTGGTCCTGCTAGCAATAGCAAAGTGAAGCATATTTAGAGGGTTTATCTCAGTGAAGACAAATCCCTGCCTTATCCATCACAAAATACTTGCAAGAATACAAGAATACTTCCCCTGACATATGGGGCACTTAGCAGCATCAGTATCCAGAGGTCAGCCTTGGTGAGCTAAGTCTATACTACAGAGCTCAAGTATCACCTCTACCATTGCCTGCCATCCTGGTCACATTGTTTACAAATAAATCACTTGGACAATCAGTGGGGTGATAGGAAGAGAGACTACGTAACAGCCATATGGTTGATGTGTACCTGATTGTTGATAGCCTCCTCTGAAGAGTGAGAATTTAGGTTAGTATTCATATGGGGCATTATTCTCATACTCTGGGACCATTCTGGGAAATTCGTCCATATCACCATTCCCCAAAGCTTCTTGTCAACACAGCCTCCCCTTTGCCCACTTAAAATCTCTGTCTATCCAAACCATTAGCCGTGTACATTCAGTTTAGATCACTCTCCTTCTAGAAAAAGTAAACAATGGCATTCAGTACTCCAAATTGTGCTGAGTGGCAGCAATTCTTTTTCCTATTGCCATTTGTGGACATATTTGAGTTACAGCTTCTAATGCTACTGTTACAACTGGCGTCAGTAGTATTAGCCAGTAGTATGAGCATTCAACTTATATTGAATGCTCACTATGTACAGGACATTGTTGTAAGTATACCAAAACTATTTGCTCAAGAGGCACTATTACATCCCCTATTACATCCACTATTACATTTTAAAATGAAGGGAAAAGCCAGAGGAAAAAAAAGAGAAAAAAGCCAATTCTTCAGGAACTGGTTAGTAATGGGTTGAACTTGTAGCATTCAGTTTTTCTTTTCTTTTTTGTTTTTTTCTTTTTGGAGACGGAAACGCCTCTGTTGCCCAGGCTGGAGTACAGTGACACAATCTTGGCTCACTGCAACCTCCGCCTCCTCGGGTCAAGTGATTCTCCTGCCTGAGCCTCCAGAGTAGCTGAGATTACAGGGTCCCGCCAGCTCATCGGGCTAATTTTCGTATTTTTAGTAGGGATGGGGTTTCACCATGTTGGCCAGGCTGATCTCTAACTCCTGACCTCAACTGATCCACCAGCCTCGGCCTCCCAAAGTGCTGGGATTACAGGCATGAGCCACCCCACCCAGTCCCATTCAGTTTTTCAAGCAAAGTATTAACTTTTTGTCCTTATTCTTAAGGGGACACTAGCAAGATGAAAATAACCCATAAGGTGATCATTTGTTTCATTACCTCTTAGGCAGGTTAGTCTTCTGAGTAACAGAATTAGCTGGGTTCTTTTCAACTTAACTTTGTGTAGTTTTCGAAAACCTAGCCTTTACAAATTTTCACCTGTGGCTGGACAATATGCCCAATGAGTCAGTCGCAATCCTCCTTTTCTTACAAACTCTGCTTTTTATTCTGATTTCTATATCTTGTAAGACAAAGAAGCAAGTTATTTAGCTTGGAAATTATCATCTATTTGGATTAATAGAGAGGGTCAGAGGCCCCTGTAACATAACAATAATGTCATAAAAGTAATTTAAGTTCTATTTATTCACAGAATTGATAACAGTTCAGTTATCATTAGTATGGGATTATGGTGAAAGTAAAAGAACTTGAGTGTATATTTTCACTCTATTTCATAGAAATATACACAACAAACCAGATAGCAATTCAAAGAGATAAATATTTTAGAAACTCTACAGTTTTCAAAGGCTGGACAAGTGTCTGAGAAAAAGCTCAAAAAAGAAATTTCATAAAGCAGACAATATTTAACTGGGCTTTGAAAAAAATAGGTAGGACTTGAGTCAACAAAAGTGTGTATTTGATAGTGGATTTAACAAAAATACTAATTGCTTTAGATCCTATTACTGTGCTAAATTTAGATCCATTTTAAATAAACTAGATAGTAACTCAAGTTTATATACAATTACTACCTTTGAAACCAAAAGCCAGTCATAGTGGGAGCTTCCAAATGCTTTATAAACCTTGGATTTTTACCTAAGAGACACATGACTGAATAGTTACAACCTAGAGCAACATCGTTTGTTGGATGACTGGTTCTCATTTGTGACAACCTGAATAAGGGGGAACTTGTTTTTCCTCACTTCTTCTAGGCAAAGTCAAAAATAGTATTTAAAATACTAACGAAAGGAGTTTTAAAATTGAAATTGACTTATTTCAGAAAAGAGTCTGGGATAAACGTCCTCAAGTTTTCTGCCTTAACACCCCGAATTGTCCTGTTTAGGCGTCTAATGCCTTTGCTTATATAGATATACCATAAAGGGAAAATAGTATTCTAATTAGAGATAAAGCATTGATCAGGCTGAAAACTACCGCCTTCAAATTCCATTGCAGCCAGACTGGATGGCTCACGCCTGTAATCAGCACTTTGGGAGGCTGAGGCTGGTGGATCACCTGAAGTCAGGAGTTCGAGACCAGCCTGGCCAACATGGTGAAATCCCGTCCCTACTAAAAATACAAAAATTATCCGGGCATGGTGGCGCATGCCTCTAATCTCAGCTACCCGGAAGGCTGAGGCAGGAGAATCGCTGGAACCCGGGAGGCGGAAGTTGCAGTGAGCTGAGATCACGCCACTGCACTCCAGTCTGGGTGACAGAGAAACTCTCCCTCTCAAAAACAAAAAAAACAAAAAAAACTGATTATGTTGCCATAAACGGTCCCTTTTAAAAAAATCGCTCTATCCAATGAAAACTGAGAAGAAATAAATCTCCTTCCCGAAAGCGATAAAATACTAAAGAATGAGAAACACAAACTGACAGTTTACTGAGTTTGTTAAGGAAGGCCAAATAAAGGCGGGGTTTGAATTCCTTTGGCGCACCCAAACCGGCCGTGGACTTCCTGGATACAGCAACTAATCAGGATGCAGGCAGGAAGGGTGGGCGCTGCCCGGACAAATTCAAACTGATAACCGCTGCAACTTGGCACTGTTCCAACTCACTATCCGCTGGGGGACTGACGAGTATTTTAATCGGCTTCGAACGTGTAATAGAAAGTCTCCCCATCTCCTTACTTAACTCTAAAAGGATTAGAATAGCAGATCTAAAAAAAAGTCATTAAGGATTAGTTCAGACTAAAAAACACAGTAGTGAGTTACAAGTACTATGTCAATGGCCAGCACAGGAGGAATACAAGCACCAGCTCTCTCTTTGAGAAGATGGGTGGCTCTTAAAAGAGCCGTTAGGGTCGAGTTTGCAACCAACTCACTGTTTACTTAGCGCTGGTGTACTTGGTGACGGCCTTGGTGCCCTCGGACACGGCGTGCTTGGCCAACTCCCCGGGTAGCAGCAGGCGCACAGCCGTCTGGATCTCCCTGGAGGTGATGGTCGAGCGCTTGTTGTAATGCGCCAGGCGGGAAGCCTCACCAGCAATGCGCTCGAAAATGTCGTTCACAAACGAATTCATGATGCCCATGGCCTTGGATGAAATGCCGGTGTCAGGGTGGACCTGCTTCAGCACCTTGTACACATAGATGGAATAACTCTCCTTGCGGCTGCGCTTGCGCTTTTTGCCGTCCTTCTTCTGAGCCTTAGTTACCGCCTTCTTGGAGCCCTTTTTCGGGGCGGGAGCGGACTTCGCAGGCTCTGGCATAGCGAACACTAGCTACAAAGCTCCAAGGAAAAAGAAAAACACAGAGAGCAAGGTACGACAAGGCGCTTTTATATAGAATCGCTTATGCAAATAAGGTGAAGAGTTGAAGTCTTGTATCTGATTGGTAGTTATTCAGGGTAACGTCAGAGGTCAGTTCTGCCCAATCAGGATTCGCAAATCCAGAAGACGTACTGCCATTGGTTGAAATTAAACTGCAGTCCTAACCAACAACACGTCTTCTTTTTCGCGCCCAATAGTGTTTATAAAAAGCGCCGCCTGTCCTCTTTGTTTCGTAGTTGCTTGTGGTGAGTTAGTTGCGCTCGCAATGTCTGGACGTGGCAAGCAGGGAGGCAAGGCTCGCGCTAAGGCCAAGACTCGCTCCTCTAGGGCAGGGCTCCAGTTCCCCGTGGGCCGAGTGCACCGCCTGCTTCGCAAGGGCAATTATGCCGAGAGGGTTGGGGCCGGCGCGCCGGTGTATCTGGCAGCGGTGCTGGAGTACCTGACAGCCGAGATCCTGGAACTGGCGGGCAATGCGGCCCGCGACAACAAGAAGACCCGCATCATCCCCCGTCACCTCCAACTGGCCATCCGCAACGACGAGGAACTCAACAAGCTACTGGGCAAAGTCACCATCGCACAGGGCGGTGTCCTGCCCAACATCCAGGCAGTGCTGCTGCCCAAAAAGACTGAGAGCCACCACAAGGCGAAGGGCAAGTAACTACCTGGACTAGTTTGTGGCAACTGGAGTAAAACGAGTCCAAACCAACGGCTCTTTTAAGGGCCACCCACGTCTTCTCTAAAAGAACTTAACATTTCTTCCACGTGAAAGAAAATGAGACATGGGGAAAACTTAAGCCATAAGTTACCCATCCTTATACCTTTTTAAGACACTGTAGCGAACACCGCAGATTTAAAAGAAAAACTAGAGGGAAGGTGGTCCAGATTCTACCACGTTTAAAAGTTAGGATGTGAACAGATGTATTAGGCCACTACTTAATTTTAAACTTAGCGTCTGTCCATAGAGTGCCAGTGGCTTCGTGAGTTTTTGAAGCACTTTGGCACAAGGGTTATTGCCCTGGCTAGAATTTAGCAGACAGCTATTCCACGCGGGCCAAGGGCGGCAAGAAGTCCCCCCGCTATGTGCCCTGCACGGTGACCCTGCGCGACGTACGGCGCTACCAGAACTCCGAGCTGCTGATCAGCAAGCTGCCTCCTGCGAGAGCTCGGCGGTGACGCCGCTGCAGGAGAGCGAGGCTGCAGGACTTTGTGACACGATAGTCCACCTCCCTGCAAAGGCTCTCTCAGAGACACATCTTTCCTGATGGATAGCTGTGAAGCATTCTCTTACCCACCCCACTGCATGTTTCAAAGTATTCCTTTAAAATGAAGTGAGTAAAATACTGGGATGACGTTATCTGGAGCCCAAGAAAGATTTCTCATTTGGAAAAGCCTAATATCCTAAGTTGCTTACCCAGAAGAACTTGACAGGATAGTTATTTCTAATAAACCTTAAAACCCTTTCAGGAAATTTGAGGTAAAGTGTTAGCACACAGACTGTTAAAACGTCTTCCTCACAAATACGGGGGAAAATATATGGAGAATTATCATATGGTTCAACAAATGATGAGTATTAGAAATGTACTATAGAAATGAGCATTAGAAATGTTTATGAGTATTAGAAAAGTACAGGGTTGGGCGTTCCTGACTCAAACTGAGGCCTCCTAGCAAGACTGGCAGATTTCTGTGGAGGAGGGTTATTAAGTACGATAGTGCAAATAACTTTTGGTGTTGTAGCTAAATAAGGAATATTCATACCAAGATTGCACAATCTTGCCTCCTACCTCTGTTCACTGAACTCTGCTGCAATTTATTTATTTATTTTTATTTTATTTATTTATTTATTTATTTTTGAGACGGGGTCTCGCTCTGTCGCCCAGGCTGAAGTGCAGTGGCGTGATTTCGGCTCACTGCAAGCTCCACCTCCCGGGTTCACACCATTCTCCTGCCTCAGCCTCCCGAGTAGCTGGGACTGCAGGCGCCCACCACCATGCCCGGCTAATTTTTTGTATTTTTAGTAAAGACGGGGTTTTACCGTGTTAGCCAGGATGGTCTCAATCTCCTGACCTCGTGATCCGCCCGCCTTGGCCTCCCAAAGTGCTGGGATTACAGGTGTAAGCCACAGCGCCTGGCCCACTCTGATGTAATCTTGAGAAAAAGACATTAACTTATTTTTCTTGCGTATTGTAGACACTTTTGGCTGTCTGGTAACATGGAAAATCTCAGAATGATGTTTTAAGTATATAAAATGCCAAACGAAGTTAAATTACAGTTATCAGAGTATTTTTAAAACTTGATAGTGATAAATGGGCCTATATAGTTATGTTGTTAATATAGTTAACACATTATATAATTTGGTGAGCCTAATTGCTGTTACTAATTAGAGGAGTATAAATGTTTCAAGATAACTCAGCAATTGTAATGAGAAATGAAACATCTAATGTCTTTTGGGTTACAAAGTAACAGGTACTGAGATTTGTGGCCTAAATTCATAATAAAGTGAAATGTTCAAATTCAGTCAAGGTTAACTTTTTAAAAATAGATATTTTACTACCCAAACTCACAGACTTCCCCTTCAGCACCCTCCAATTGCTGAATTTTATCCTTAGGGGCATTGTGACATATAAGTATGGACCTCAGGTTAAAAACTCTTGCTCTAAAATTTGGTCGACCTACCCCATTTCTTTTCAGCTCCTTTTCTCTAGATACCTCCTCTTCCTATCTGGAATTTCTTTAGCACTTAGTCTATTGACATCTCATAACCTTTTATTGTTTCTGTTTCTTGTTCTTAAAATATAACTACTTCCAATCCTAGTATAAATATGATGTTCTGGAACAGAAATAAGTGCTGAGAATTAGCAAAAATAGGTACTTGAGAGGCCCCAAAAATTGTAAAATATTTGGCTTTTTGATGGATTTTTATACTGTGTAACCCAAATAATAATTTTATTCATTTTTGAGTTGTTCGTCTTTAAAGGTCTTTCAACTTATTTAAATTAATATTTAATAAATTTCACAATTAAATGTATTTTGCAAGTGTAACTGTCACTGGAAAGGGGTCCCAATCCAGACACCAAGAGAGGGTTCTTGGGTATCTCTCAAGAAAGAATTCAAGGCAAATCCATAGAGTACAGTGAAAGCAAGTTTATTAGAGAAGTAAAGAAAACTGTTCTTTTGTTCTATTCTAAGGATATTTATAGTTATTTCTTGATTACATGCTAAACAAGGGGTGGATTCTTCATGAGTTTTCTGGGAAAGGGGTGGGCAATTCCCCAACTGAGAGTTCCTCCCCCTTTTAGACCATATAGGGTAACTTTCCGACGTTGCCATGGCATCTGTAAATGGTCATGGCACTGGTGGGAGTGTCTTTTAGCATGCTGATGCATTATAAGTGTGTATAATGAGCAGTGAGGATAACCAGAGGTCAATTTCCTCGCCATCTTGATTTTGGTAGGTTTTGGCTGGCTTCTTTACCTCATGCTTTTATTAGCAAAGTCTTTGTGACCTGTACCTTGTGCCAACCTCTTCTGTGACTCATTCTGTGAATACAAATGCCTTAAGCTTCTGGGAATGCAGCCCAGTAGGCCTCAGCCTTATTTTACCCAGCTCCTATTCAAGATGGAGTTGCTCTGATTTAAACGTCTGACATAATAAAGTTTGCTGCTAGATTTGTTTTGTAATGTGAAAGAATGTGAGTACTCATAGTTACTCTGTTTGAACTAAGTTTATCTTGATAGTCAGTTATCCTATTAGAAAAGAGACTGATTAGCATCACATTTTTAAAAATGTTATACTGTGTGTATGTTTACTATTGATTTCAGAACTAAATTTACCGTCAATTTCAGAAACTAAAGAGCCTGACAAACTCAAATATCCTTGTAGGGGAGGCAAAATTTTACCTCTATCCTCTTGAGTTTTTATGGCTGGGCCTGATAATTAAACTGACATAAGACAGATTAAGAGGAGAAAAGCATATAACTTTATTTAATATAAATTTTATGTGGCATGGGACATGGGAGCTCTAATTACAGACCCCAAAGAAGTAGCAAAATCTAAATGCTTTTATAGTAGGTTGAACAGAGTAAATTGTGAAAATGTAACTATGTAGGAAGGCTAGGCCGGGCGCGGTGGCTCAAGCCTGTAATCCCAGCACTTTGGGAGGCCGAGATGGGCGGATCACGAGGTCAGGAGATCGAGACCATCCTGGCTAACACGGTGAAACCCCGTCTCTACTAAAAAAATACAAAAAACTAGCCGGGCAAGGTAGCGGGCGCCTGTAGTCCCAGCTACTCGGGAAGCTGAGGCAGGAGAATGGCGTGAACCCGGGAGGCGGAGCTTGCAGTGAGCCGAGATCCCGCCACTGCACTCCAGCCTGGGCGACAGAGCAAGACTCCGTCTCAAAAAAAAAAAAAAAAAAAAAAAAAAAAAAAAGGAAGGCTAAAGGAAAACAATTATTTTAAGGAGATCTGCTTGTACAGAATTCTCTTGGTTTCAACTTCCTGTCCTTGATGAAAATGTTCTTTTCCTTTTGGTACAAGGAGGACATCTTTCACACCAGGCCTCTGAGCCCAAGCTAAGCCTGTGATATACACATATACATCCAGATGGCCTGAAGCAACTGAAGATCCACAGAAGTAAAAATAGCCTTGACCGATGACATTCCACCATTGTGATTTGTTTCTGCCCCACCCTAACTGATCAATGTACTTTGTAATTCTCCCCACCCTTGAGAATGTACTTTGTGAGATCCACCCCCTACCCCCAAAACATTGCTCTTAACTCCACCACCTATCCCAAAACCTGTAAGAACTAATGATAATCCCACCACCCTTTGCTGACTCTCTTTTCGGACTCAGCCCGCCTGTACCCAGGTGAAATAAACAGCCTTGTTGCTCACACAAAACCTGTTTGGTGGTCTCTTCACACGGACATGGGAATTTTAATTCCTGCTTTTAGGGAGGAAAAAGGGAACAGTGAGAGTGCCTTTCTGCCTTTCTTGTACCTACTCTTTTAAATTGCCTTTATCTCAAAATCTTATTCCAAAATGGCATATTTTGGGATGGCATATTCTGCCACATTTTACCATTCATTGCTATCCTTATTGTCACTAATTGCTATGCGAAAACTCATGAAATCAGATACAGAAAATGGCTTCTGATCGGTGAGAAGCTCAAGTAGAGAAATATATTTGTTAACTAATGTTGGGGAAATACAATTTTGAAATCTCCCAAAGAATAGAAAGGAAATAATTTTATTATTGAATAAGCATTAAACCAGAGAGTTGCTTATCACAGGCAATCTTACGAAGAGATTGCAAAACCAGAAAGAAATCTTGCTTTCTTATTACGTATAGCCACGTTGGATAGGTTTTGCAATTCGAAGTTAGGTGACAGCTAAAGTTTGGTCTATTTTCTCACTGGAAACTGGGAGACAGAGCACTATCTTTTTAAATGATGAACATTTCAAAGAGATAGCTCTCCAGAAATTGAGAAAATATTCTCAGTTATAAGGCCTATTTAGTCATTAAAAGGATTTGCATACATCTTGAAAGTGATGGAAAAGGAAGTCTCTTGTTTACAACAGATAATTAAGCCTGTTATTTTTCATTTGTATTTACCCTTAGATTAAGTATTCAATTAATCTATGCTCCCTTACCCTCTTTACAACATATACTGAATTCAGCTACAGCAAGTTACAGCCAGTCATATCAATTTTGTTTTGTTTTGTTTTCCAAAGATGGCAAGTTTTCTTTTATTGCAACATAAATGCAAAACTTTTAAAAGTATTTTAATGAAAAGTTTATCTTCATTTACTTTATGACATTTAAGTGGAGTACTTTGAAAATACTTCAAGCATTGCTGTAAGGAACTCATTGAAATAAAGAGTAGCAAGAAAATCACCAAATAGGCCGGGTGCAGTGGCTCATATATTCAGTATGTGATAAGTTCCTCAAATCAGTGGGGGAAATAGGTCATGTATTGTACTGACTAACCAGCTGATTAACTTTTTGAAAAGTTATTTCTATAAACAAGAAATCAAATCCTTATTAGTACAGTTAGATTATTTAAAATGGTTCTACCCAGCATTAGTTAAGGTTGTAGGCATATCAGAAACTGCTACTGGTGTAGGGGCCAAGAGAAAACCTCCCTTTTGCCCTCTGAAAGTTTACTGAAAATCAACTGATAAGAGAATATGAATAAGAGAAAAGGCATACAAATTTATTAAGGTACAGGGCTGGGGACCACAGAATAATTACCTCAACCCCCCAGTGGGGTACAGAAGCTTATATACCCTTTCTCAGAGGCAAAAGAGGAGATGGGTAATGTAGACAATTTTTTGAGGAACAGTAAATGATTATTAGGGAGAAGGAATGGACCAAGGAGAAAGAAATTAACTTGTAAATGACTCTCTTTGGAATCTGAATGAGATCAAGAGGCCAGCTTTATCTTGTGGGAAAGTCCATCTAGGTATGGTTGCATTCTTCAGTCTTCTTTTCTGCATACAGTAGATAATGAGGTAACCGAAGGCAATTGTGCTTCTTTTGGTAAGAAGCTTTCTTGGTCATATCAGGAAATTCCAGAGAAAGTCCCTCCCTGGAAGAGAAACAAGACAAAGTTAGAGGGATCTTGATTCTTAGACTTGTTTCTGAGAACCTTCAATTTTCCAAAGCACCCAGGATTACCAAGCTCAATATCTGGGGGGATAATTCTACACCCCAAACACTGGAAATGAAAATAAGTAGAAGATAACTTAGCAATATACCTGAAAGATCTTTAAATTCTATATGAGTCTATCTTGTATTGCTAGGAATTTAGCATATGGAGTATATTTCCATGGTATATTAAGGAGAAAAATGCCACAAAATAGCATAGTTCCACACAAATAATGTTAAAGAAAACATGTATATATGTAGAGATAATATTTTATTCTTTTTGCTTTATGTATCTTCTATAATGTTAACATTTTTGTTAGGAGGCAGGAATCATGTTAAATGAAAAAAGGAAGAAAAACAGCCTAGGTCTTGGGGATTAAAAAGGACTGAAGGAGAACAAAAGGGAGTAGTGCACAGCAGGCCTGTTTCCCTTTTAGGTCCCCTCCCCCGACGCGGAGGGACTTCCCGCCAAAGCTCTTCCGGTTTTCAGTCTGGTCCGCAGGGTTTACCCATAAAAGAAAGCTGCCATCACAGGCAGCCCATCTTTGTTCTCTGATCACTTGAGAATGTCAGGACGCGGCAAAGGAGGTAAGGGTCTGGGGAAAGGGGGTGCCAAGCGCCATCGCAAAGTGCTGCGCGACAACATCCAGGGCATTACCAAGCCAGCCATCCGGCGCCTTGCTCGCCGCGGCGGCGTGAAGCGCATCTCCGGACTCATCTATGAGGAGACCCGCGGGGTGCTGAAGGTCTTCCTGGAGAACGTGATCCGGGACGCCGTGACCTACACGGAGCACGCCAAGCGCAAGACGGTCACCGCCATGGACGTAGTCTATGCGCTGAAGCGCCAGGGCCGCACCCTTTATGGCTTCGGCGGCTAAACGGCATTTTGAAGCCCTGTCGTTCTCTAAAAAGGCCCTTTTTAGGGCCCCTAAGCTTTCAACAAAAGAGTTAAATGACAGCAAACTGAGTCTCTTAATAGGGTCCTTGTCAGTGAGTTCTCTTATCCTGTTTTACAAGATTAACTCGGCATGTTGAAAGTGGACTGATGACTACAGGTGGCCCTGGGCCGAGATTTCCCAAGGCTAGAAGAGCCTCTGCTGGCCAGTAACTTCTGGCAGCTGCTTGCAAATTGCCTGCAGCCGGTTTACCGCTCGGATTAGGGGCGGGCTAGACACTTAACTTCCCTCTGGCCCTTCAAATACGTCTCGGGAGAGATGAGGGGTTTGATGGGGGCTCCATTAAATGCTGGAGCCTCCAGGATTTGGAGTGGGGAGCAGACCATACTTTTACTACTGTAGAAGACAGCTGGGCAGTCTTAAGAGTCTTAGTAATAATATTCCTTTATATGTTTGCCTTCTGATAAGATTTTTAAATACTGAAATATATCAAGTATACAAAATGCGCTGGTGACCACACCACTTATTCAACAAGTGCAGTTAAAATCCTCATGTCCCTTCTCAGTAGCACAGCCCTCCCTTTTTCCTATCCTAGAATTAACTAATATTCTAGGATAAACTGATATTCTGAATTTGGTGTTTACTGTTCCTACGCATTTTTAACTTTAGATGCACATACCCCTAATCTATTTTAAACGTCTTCATGAATTTTTACATTTGCTCTTGAAATATATCCGTGTTGAAATGTGCAGTTCTACGTTATTTTCACCATTAATCTAGTTTTCTAATGTGTCAGTAAATACTTTATTCATTTCTGTTGATTTTTTTTTTTTTCCTCATTACAAAACAGCACTGTACACACCTGTGCATTTTCTGGTTACATGAAAGTGGAATTATTTGGTAAAAGTATGTACATATTCAACATGAGTAAAAATGAACAATTTGCTTTCCAGGATAGTATTTTAAAATTTACACTCCCATATTCCACCAGCAGTGCTTCAGAATTATTGTTTATCAGCATTTCCTTATGTCAGATTGGAGTTTTTTCAATATTTTTGGCTATTTGGAGATTTACCCACTTTTCTGGGAATGGTCTATCCAGATTCTCTACAGTTTTTATTTTATGAGTTTTGATTTGTAAATATTTATATATTTGAGTTTTAACTTTTTGTCAGTATGTGACAAATATATTCTGCCACCTTGTGGGTTTGTTTTTAACTGTTCGTGATATCTTTGGATGTACAGAATTTTAATAATGTTGGATTTATATTTTTTATAGTTTTTGAATGCTGCCTTTTCATAAAGGAGTTATCTGCCTTCCACTTTCCCCAGGAGCTGCAGGCATCAATCTGGGGAGGAAAAAAAAAAGTATTTAGGCTGCTTATCTCCTGATTTGGCTTGAATTGGATAGTAAGGCTTTTCTGAAATAGCTCTAAGAGTAGCTTAAGAGCAAGCTAAGGGAAGACCTCACAAAAGATTGATCTTACTCTCTAAATAAGCAATGATTAACAATATCTAAAATTTTCAAAGTATTACAAAAGGGACAAAAGAAAGGGTGAAAGAGGAAAGTAATTCCTAAGATACACTGAAAGTTTGTTGAAAATTGTGTTAAACGCTTTACATGGATTATCTCATATCTCATATTTTTATGACAGATTTTACTACTCTTATTTTAAAATTACAAAATAGAGGCCAAATCAAATAACCAATTCACAAATGTTAGAGTCTGTGACTCAAACTTGTAATTTTTTAATTTTTATTCTTCCAGGAGCATAGATTCAAATTGCCCTGAACATACACTCACTCAAACCTGTAATATTCTTAATCACACTCTCTTAGTAGATAGAGAAGCCATCACAGAGAGTAGTAGTGGTGCTAGTCCTATAATGGAGAATTTGGGGAAATGTGTCAGGACAGGTACAAAACCTGCCTGTCACTTATCCCAATAGGAATGAATTATTTTCATGTGTCAGTTTGTGGGCCTACCTGAGAAAGTCGTTTTCATTTTGTGTCTATATAGTTATGTTATTGTTAAAGAAATCTGCAGCAATGTAACATGTCCTTCCCTGTCATTTTTCATGTTCCAAGCCCAATGGATTAAACACTCCCTTAGGAAAAACTGTAGTAAGTGGTGATGCCAGAAGGAATTGTAATCCTTTACATAGTGCCCTAGTGGGTTTTAGGTCAAGTTCTGCTCATTGAGTGTCTTATGGTATAGCACTAGCCATGCATGGAGTTTGAGCACTTACAATGTGGCATGTGACTGAGGGAGTGTTTAATTATATTTTAATTAGTTTACATTTAAAAACTGGTGCTGGATTCAATTAGATAACATCCAAGTATGCTTGGAACACCTTAGGGACATAAATCAGAATCTTCTTATTCTAATTACAGATGAAGAATTCCCCATGAAAATTTATTTTGATATACTGTAAAAGTGTAAAATACACACCAGATTTTGAAGATTTGAAATGAAAAAAGAATGCAAGATATGTAATACATTCTGTATTGACTATATGCTGAAACTGTATTTTTGATACATTCTGTCAAATAGGATACATTATTAAAATTAATTGTAACTTTTTTTTTTTTTTTGGAAATGAAGTCTCGACCCTCTTGTCCCCCAGGTTGGAGTGCAATGGCGCCATCTCGGCTCACTGCAACCTCTGCCTCCCAGGTTCAAGAGATTCTCCTGCCTCAGCCTCCCGAGTAGCTAGGAATACAGATGCGTACCACCCCGCCTGGCTAATTTTTTGCATTTTAAGTAGAGGCGGGGTTTCACCATGTTGACCAGGCTGGTCTTGAACTCCTGACCTCAGGTGATCCACCCACCTCGGCCTCCCAAAGTGCTGGGATTTCAGGCATGAGCCACTGTGCCTGATTTTTTTTAACTTTTAAAAATGGTTACTGGAAAGATAAGAAGTACATGTATGACTTGTATTATATTCACACCCCTCCTTTTATTTTTTTTTGAGATGGAGTCTTGCTCTGTCGCCCAGGTTCGAGTGCAGTGGCATGATCTCGGCTCACTGCAACCTCTGCCTCCCAGGTTCAAGTCATTCTCCTGCCTCAGCCTCCCAAGCAGGTGGGACTACAGGCGTCCCATTAGTCGAAACCATGCCCGACTAATTTTTGTATTTTTAGTAGAGATGGGGTTTCACCATATGGGCCAGGCTGGTCTCGAACTCCTGACCTTGTGATCCACCCACCTCAGCCTCCCAAAGTGCTGGGATTACAGGCATGAGCCATCGCACCTGGCCGTATTATATTTCTATTTGAGTAGTGTCTTAAGAGTAACAAACTGGCTTTCAGACACTTATAATAGGATAGAAAAATCCTAGTTCAAGAAAGAATGAGAAAGTAGGAGAAACCAAATGAACAACAAATTTCCCAGGCCGGGCACGGTGGCTCACCCACCCGGTTCATGCCAGCACTTTGGGAGGCCAAGGTGGGTGGATCACCTGACGTCAGGAGTTCAAGACCAGCCTGGCCAACATGGTGAAACCACGTCTCTACTAAAAATATAAAAACTAGCCGGGCGTGGTCACGGGCGCCAGTAATCCCAGCTATTCAGGAGGCTGAGGCAGGAGAATTGCTTGAACCCAGGAGACAGGTTGCATTGAGCCAACACAGTGCCACTGCACTCCAGCCTCGGTGACAGAGTGAGACTCAGTCTCAAAAAAAAATTTTTTTTTTTCCTTTCCTTCACGTATATTCCTGAAGACAGAGATAAGGTCTTCTCCCAGCTGTACTTATACCTCAGGTAATATCAAGAAAGCAGTGACATGATATATTATACTTCATGGGCATACAGTTGTGACATTTACTCCTTTGTATTAAGGAATTGAAGAATTACTAAGTTTTTCCAGCTCATCTAAGGTAGAAAGCCATGCCATTTTCTTAGGTCCACTGACCTCTTTACTTCCAACTTCTAGGCTCAGATACTAGATAACAACACAGACCAAACATATGATTGCCAAGTCCCTAACCACAGTTAAATAAACCTCCACTTTTCAATCCCAGAGCTACTCTCAGTTTCCCAAAGAATGGGAAAATCTGAAGCAGGCAATTATTTCGTGCAAGTGTTCTTCAGGAGGCTGTAACAATTGCTAGATTAAATTGCTGTGGTCCAGAATCACACAGCAATTATTGTAAAGCACTGAACTACTCTTTAAAAAAAAAAAAATTATTTTATGAGACAGGAGACAATTTAGCACATTCAACTTTTTAACAATCTAAGAGAGATTATGAAATATAAAAATGAATAAAAGAGCCCTATTTTGTTTCAAATTAAGTCAAATTAATACACATGGCTAATGAGAAAATAAATGACAAAGAGATATATGGTATAATGGGAACAAACAAGAGCATAATGGAATCTTGTTCTGATTCTAACGATCTGAGCAAATTAAGCTTTGCATCCATTTAGCTATTTGTAAAATAACATTGATCTGAACTTTTTGATTCCTTCAAGCTGTTAAACTCTGTGCTATCAATGGGCATGGTTGCTCACGCCTGTAATCCTAGCACTTTGGGAGGCCGAGGCAGGTATAGATAGCCTGAGGTCGGGAGTTTGAGACCAGCCTGGCCAACATGTTGAAACCCCCATCTCTACTAAAAATACAAAATTTAGCCAGGCGTGGTGGCAGGCGCCTGTAATACCAGCCATTTGGGAAACTGAGGCAAGAGAATCGCTTTAACCTGGGAGGCGGAGGTTGCAGTGAGCCAAGATCTCGCCATTGGACTGCAGCCTGGGTAACAGAGCTAGACTCCGTCTTGGGGGGGGGGCAAGGGGGGGAAATCTGTGCCATCGAGAGAAATGAGATCATTTTGAAGGGAGTGAGAAAAGGGGTGAAGGTGAAAGCAGGAGAAAGTTATGGCCACTTCCACCCAGTATTTCTATTAAAACACAAATGCACTTCCAGAATTTTATAAAAAGCAAAAAGGACTGAAATTGTATAAAATCAAGATGTTATGTCCATTTGCAAAAATAGTTTGTAAGTCTAAAGGTAGTAACAGCAGATAACTTCAGAGTAAAAATTTTAGTCTGTAAAGAGTAGTAAGGTATACCTGAAGGTAGAATTCATTGGCATAGTGTATCTTAGTTTGTTTTTAAATTTTATTTGCGACGGAGTCTTGCTTTGTTGCCCAGGCTGGAGTGCAGTCAGGTGATCTCAGCTCACTGCAACCTTTGCCTCCTGGGTTCCAGCAATTCTGCCTCAGCTTCCCCAGTAGCTGGGACTACAGGCACACGCCACCACACCCAGCTAATTTTTGTATTGTTAGTAGAGACAGAGTTTCACTATGTTAGCCATGCTGCTTTCGAATTCCTGACTTCAAGTGACTGCCTCCTAATAGGTATAGATATAGATCAGTGCCTTCTATATAGGTAAACAATAAATATAATTATTTGTTGATACATTTCTTAGAATATTAATGTAACCCCAAAATTGCTGATAGGATAAGACTTAGATGAACAGTGAACATATGCTTTGCATGTATTTAAAGTTTTCCAATATGACCTTGCTAATCTCCAAATGCCCAAGGGCGGGCAATATCCCCAAAGACTAGAACAATGCATGGCCAAATATGTTAAATATATATACAGACACATATACATTGAAAATTTCCCTGTGAAACTGGCCTGCATTTCTAAATCACAAATTTAGCCAGGTAACAACCTAGCTTAAAATTCGTGGACCCTTTCTTTCACTTGGTTCTTCCAAAAAAGTTCCACACTGCTTATCACCGGCATAGCCATTCTAGTCTCCAGTTACACAATAAAACCCACCTAACTCTGCTCAGACCCTGTGCTGCTGGGGAAGTTCCTTTCTCCTCTACTCCAACTTCTTGCTTCGGGGCGGACTGTCTCTAGCCTCAGTCTGTTGTCCCCCCTCTGGATCCAGTTGGTTTTCCTTTTCCTTTTCTATAAGCTTTGTCAAAAGGAAAAATTACTGATTGAACCAATTGACGCTGAACATGCCTTAAAAACTAGCAAAATATTCAAAAATCTCCGCGATGATCTCATGTTCCGTTTCTTCACTCATGAGAAAAGCTGTGCTCCTCCCCTTACACTTGCAGACTATGCTGCCTGGTGGTCTGGCATCTTCCCGGTGTCTTGTGGGCTGGAGAGGTGGAAACGGGGGGTGAGAGGGAAGCAAGGCAGAGCTGGGTACAGCCTAGAAGGGGTTAAATAAGGTAATTGCTCGCGCGAAAGCCATACGTACTGGTAGGCCATCGGGAACCAAATTTACAAATATATAAACTCAAGTTAGAACTCCTTTAAATGGTGGAAAGTACACGTGACACAATAGGCTTTCAACAAGTTCTAACAGGAAGTCACAGCACTCGACACAACGGAAGTATCCATTTTCGCGCCAAGAGCCAGGAAGCACTTTCTGTTAACGCAAATTTCCTGCACATCCTTAATTTTTTAGGCGCCATATTCCTTACTCAGTACTAACAAAGTGCATGTGGCTTCTCTTTAGTCTGTACTCGATTACAAGCACTGTACGCATTACTCAATGTAATGAGATCATAACAACCCCTTTAAAGAGATCGCCATTATTTAAACCTGGATTAGGAACACGTGTTCGCAGCTCTAATAGCGACAATTTAAGTGGCTCTTAAAAGAGCCTTTGGGGTTGGGCTTTAAGACGCTTACTTGGCAGGTTTACTTAGCGCTGGTGTACTTGGTGACGGCCTTGGTGCCCTCCGACACCGCGTGCTTGGCCAACTCCCCGGGCAGCAGCAGGCGCACGGCCGTCTGGATCTCCCTGGAGGTGATGGTCGAGCGCTTGTTGTAATGCGCCAGACGGGAAGCCTCACCCGCAATGCGCTCGAAGATGTCGTTGACGAAGGAGTTCATGATTCCCATGGCCTTAGAGGAGATGCCGGTGTCGGGGTGGACCTGCTTCAGCACCTTGTACACGTACACGGAGTAGCTCTCCTTGCGGCTGCGCTTGCGCTTCTTGCCGTCTTTCTTCTGGGCCTTAGTCACTGCCTTCTTCGAGCCCTTCTTGGGCGCAGGAGCGGACTTCGCTGGCTCCGGCATGTTGAGGGCGAACTACGACACCAGACGGACTAACAGCAGATGGAGAAAACGAGAAGTAATGGGAGGAAGGCACCAGGAGTCGTTTTTATATAGAACCTCTCATGCAAATGAAGTGAAGAGTTAAAGTCCTGTATCTGATTGGTGGTTATTCAGGGTGACCTCAGAGGTTAGTTATACCAAATCAACCAATCAGCAAATCCAAAAGACGTACTTCCATTGGTTAAAATTAAGTGGCAACTCTAACCAATGACATATCTTGTTTTTCGCGCCCAATGGTGTTTATAAAAGGCGCTGCCTCTCCACTTTCGTTTCGCTGGGTACTTTAAGTAAGTTGTGGCCAGTATGTCTGGACGTGGCAAGCAAGGTGGTAAAGCTCGCGCTAAGGCCAAGACCCGTTCTTCTCGGGCTGGGCTTCAGTTCCCTGTGGGCCGAGTGCACCGTCTACTCCGCAAGGGCAATTATGCAGAGCGGGTTGGGGCCGGCGCGCCGGTGTACCTGGCTGCGGTGCTGGAGTACCTGACTGCTGAGATCCTGGAGCTGGCTGGCAATGCGGCCCGCGACAACAAGAAGACTCGCATCATCCCGCGTCATCTCCAGCTGGCTATCCGCAACGATGAAGAGCTCAACAAGCTGCTGGGCAAAGTCACCATCGCGCAGGGTGGTGTCTTGCCCAATATCCAGGCCGTGCTGCTGCCTAAGAAGACTGAGAGCCACCATAAGGCCAAGTAAGGAGCGAGGTTGTGAAAACTGAAAAACAAAGGCTCTTTTCAGAGCCACGCTACACTGTCCTAGAGAAAGCTGGACACAGTCATGTTTGTTTCATTAGATCACATTGTAAAGCGCTTCTTTCCCGGTTGGGCTGGAGCAACTCTTTACAATGTTTCTAGATGTAATCTAATCCACTGGAAGGCAATGAAGAGCCACAAGTTATTGTAGGATACACCGGAGAAGGTTATTCAGCAGGGGTAATAAGTGAAATCAAACGTGCAAATCCCTGAAGTCCATTTACTAATTCCAGAGTGTTTGTTTTTGAGATGGAGTCTTTCCCTGTTGCCCAGGCTGGAGTGCAGTGGTGCGATCTCGGCTCACTGCAACCTCCACCTCCCAGGTTCAAGCGATTCTCCTGCCTGAGCCTCCCGAGTAGCTGGGATTATAGGCATGCACCACCATCCCCAGCTAATTTTTGTGTTTTTAGTAGAGACGGGGTTCCACCATGCTGGCCTGACTGCTCTCGAACTCCTGACCTCAGGTGATCCGCCCGTCTCGGCCTCCCAAAGTGCTGGGATTACAGGCGTGAGCTACCACGCCAGGCCTCCAGTGTAATAATTATATTACATTAATAGTGTTGTCAAACAGCCATAAAAATGGGATATACTCGCCACTCTTTAAAGGCAAATTTTGCAATTCTAAGTATTCTTGAAAAGCAAGAAAGGTCAGCCTGATTCTTAAGTGGTCTAACTCTTAAGAGCAACTTTACCCAGGTGATGAAAGTCTAGTGACTCATTTGCATTACAATTTGATTCCGATGGGAGGAGAATATGGGATACAGAATTTCCTGAATCCCATATTTGTAAATCCTTAGTCCCATTTCTTTGGAGAAGGTGTATTAATGCACTCTTTTAGTAACTCAGGATACAACATGGCTTTTTCTGTCTAGTTAATTTGTGTTATCAAATTTATTAGATCAGGATTGCTATTGCTTTTGATTGCTTGTCCACATTAATTTACCTACCCTAGCTTCCTATGAGTTTCCTTCCTCCCCACCTACCCCCAACTTGATATTACTTGCCTGCTTTTACTTCATAGCCTCAAGGCTTTCTGGCTATTCCTACAAAATGCGAAACACATTTTCTGTCTTAAGGCCTTTGCACTTTAAATTCCCTCTTCCCTGATAGCTACCTTTCTCACTTTTTTTCAATCTATGTAGGTCTCACAGAGTGAGACTCCATCTCAAAAACAACAACACAAAAAAACCACACAGAAGAGATATTTGGTGCCAACCACTTATGGCTACATATGCAATATGAATGTGCTTATTTAATTCTCACAACCTTTTGAGGTGGGTATTGTTTGGACTCTAATTTGGAAAAGAAAGTGTAGTGTTACTTATCCAATCAGATTCTCAATTAGTAGGAGAGAAAGCTATATATCAGAATATTATCTACTCAACATGGAACACACACATAACTGCCTTTTCTTAACTATCGGGTCTCATGTGCTTTAGTCTAAGGTATATAGAAACTTGGGTAAGAATTGTTAAAGGGAGATGTTGAAAGGTCTGTCAGAAGAGTATCATGATCGTATTTGAATTAATAGATACTGAATGAGAAAGAATAAAACTAGACTTAATTATTCACACAGTGTTTACAATAGTTTAAAGTGAATAAAGATTCCTGAAAATGGGAATCACACTTATATACTTTTTAAAAATATATTTTTAAGACACATACAATTTTAAAAATGCATACATACATGGTTTTCCTCAGTTCCACCCTTTCCCTTCATATTCATACCTATTACAGATGGAGTCGTCGTCATGCATTCCATGTAAGGAATAATTCTGATAAAATCAAAATAGTAAAGTCACATATAAAAATATGTGAAGGTTTATACCCCAGAGGAGCTGCATGATTTAAATAATTAACAATGACAGAATCTGAGAAATACATGTGATTATGGATAATGAAGGGTGCTTAACTAAGGATAAAATAATATAATTTTATATCAGGCTAACTATTGACATGGCTTCACTTACCTGGGAAGCTAGATTCTGTGTGTAATGGTAAACACCTGGGAGGAATACTGATTGTTTACATCGCTGACTGATATCTGGACTCAGAACTCGCCATCAGTAAATCAACTTGAGATCGCAAATATTCCTTGGAATCACACAAAGGAAAATACCAAAAAAAAAAAAAAAAAAAAGGAGGTAAAATTGCTGGTGTACATTGATATTGCTTGACTTATTAAAGGCTAACTTTATTCACAACAGAATTGCTAAACTTTTTTCTATTTACAGCAAAATTGCTATTTTTGAAGAAACCAGTGCATTTTGTAATTTGCTTGAAGCTATAAGATTTTATAAAATTATCGGACTAGAATTAGAAAGTGTATTCAGGGATTGGCCTGTCTGATTCTATCTGGTACTCCTGTAGCTTTGCACTTGCTATTTCCTAGGCCCAGAGTGTTTGTCCTACCAGTCTCTCCTTGGGTAACTCCTATTCATTCTTCAATTTTCATAATATGGCACCTCCTCAATGAGATATTCTCTTATTCCTAGTTCACATTACGCCTTCTGGGTTTACCAGATCAGGTTTTTTTTGTTTTGTTTTGTTTTTGTTTTTTGAGATGGAGTCTTGCTCAGTAGTCCAGGCTGAAGTGCAGTGGTGCAATCTTGGCTCACTGCCTCCTCTGCTTCCTGGGTTCAAGTGATTCTCGTACCTCAGTCTCCCAAGTAGCTGGGATTACAGGCACGTGCCACCACACCCTGCTAATTTTTTTGTATTTTTTGTACAGATAGGGTTTCACCATGTTAGCCAGGACGGTCTCGATCTCCTGACCTGGTGACCTGCCCGCCTCAGCCTCCCAAAGTGCTGAGATTACAGGCGTGAGCCTCCGCGCCCAGCCCAGATCAGGTTTTTAAACTCCGTATCATCATCGCTTCTCAGCCTTTTGACTAAGATAAGTGTTTTCAGCCTTTTGGCTAAGATCATCATTCTTACCAGTTTAAACTCTGTATCAATGACTATATTTTGAAAGTAAATATCTTATTTGTATTTTCATTTAATATCTGTAAACACAGCAGCATATAAGCTAAAAGAGGTCAATATGTCAGCCATCAGGAAAAAGATGAGTCATTCAAATTGGGTACTTTGGGCTGGTCGCAGTGACTCATGTCTGTAACCCCAACACTTTGGGAGGCCGAGGCAGGCAGATCACTTGAACTCTTGAGGTCCAGAGTTCGAGGCCAGCCTGGCCAACAAGGTGAAACCCTGTCTCTACTAAAAATACAAAATAATTAGCCAGGCGTGGTGGTGGGCAACTGTAATCCCAGCTACTCAGGAGGCTGAGGCAGGGCCTTGAACTCACGAGGCGGAGGTTGCAGTGAGCTGAGATTGCACCACTGCACTCCAGCCTGGGTGACAGAGCAAGACTCTGTCTCAAAAAACAAACAATAACAACAACGGAAAAAACCAACTGGGTGCTTTGAAGATTGACAAAGAAGTGAGCAAGGTGTTAGGAAGCCACAAGAGATAGTGCAGTATTTTGAAGCTAATACCATATATAAGTAATTACCACACCTAGGCCCAAAGGGGCAACGGGAGGAAAGAAAATCTGGAAACAGAAAGAGCTCCTTCCTCTCTCTGACATATTTTTACTTTTCATCAGCCAAATTCGACCAGAAGCCAAAAGGCAAGGATCAAATTCATGTATAGATCAACCTCCTAGAAACACAGGATGAAAGAAGGGGACAGGGAATCTAGGCTGGCAAAAGTAAATATCTAGCGCAGTCCATCCCTTTTGTCCTTTGGCATGTACCATCCTTTTCTCAAGTGAAAAGTCTGCATTGCATTCCAACATGGAATTTGTGAAATCACAGCCAGCTCATGGGGGTGATACCAGTTTGTTCATAATCCTACTTTAAAACTAAAATGTTAGTTGTCACCTTCCTAGAATGTACTGGGGTAAAAAGCGAGAAGTACTTAGTTAACATAATACAAGCTGTTACGAACCTTGCTTTTGTAGCTGATCATGAGGCTTAGGTTAGTAATCACAGCTTTCTTCTAAAATTCATTTCTTAGGCCAGGTGTGGTGGCTCGTACCTGTAATCCCAGCACTTTGGTAGGCCGAGGGGAGCAGATCACTTGAGCCCAGGAGTTCAACATGAGACTGGGCAAAATGGCAAGATTCTGACTCTACAGAAAATACAAAAAATTAGCCAGGCATAGTGGCGCATGCCTGTACTCCCAACTATCGGGGAGGCTGAGGTGGGAGAATCACCTGAGCCCGGGAGGTTGAGACTGCCGTGAGCCATGATCATGCCACTACACTCCAGCCTGGGCACCAGCCTGGGCAATGAAATGAGACCCTATCTC